CCACTCATTTCTAGCAGGTACCCTGAGGATTAAAAGTGATGTTTGACCCAGAGGAAGCAAAGCAGCCTATTTTCCTGGAGGGACTATTCCTGTCGGGTTTACTAGAGAAGGAAGAATGGGGAATTCGCGTGTATAGCAGGGCAAAATACTTCCCTGCTCAGAATAAAATCTGGAAAATTGGTTTTCTTGTGATCTGGATGCTAGAGAGAGGACTATGGACTCCGCGGGACTTCTTGAAGGAGCAAGTGGAGCCATTTTTGGAGTAGCCACTAGAGCGCACTGTAGTTACAGGGAAAGGAAGATAACTGTCTTCTCATGTTTTAAGAATGTAAAATTGCACCGTGTTTGACAGGTTATTTGTAGTGTTGTTGGTTCGTTGGGGTTTTTTGTCCTATTTATAATTATTTTCGCCCTTACTGTGTTTTTATGCAAATTTAATTGCTGTCTAATTTTGTTCAGTGTCTTGTTTATGGCTTCATTATTTTCTGTGACAATAGGACTTTACTGTAACAGGACCATTCTGTATGGATATTGTTAACAACTTGTGACTTTAAGGTGTTTATTTATATATGATCACTAATTTTGCTGAACTACACTTTTTTTAATTGCTTGTATTCTTTATAGGCACAGTAACAGGACTCTACAGTATGAATAGCCTAATAATCTGTGTGTTAATTTATATGTAGCTAGTTGGGAGGCGTTATTCTGCAATGTTTTTAAATTTACTGTCTCTGAAGGATATGGTATGTGCAATAGTCCTGAAAAGATACTCAATAAATATCTTTACAGAGCCTCTGAATTACAGCGTTTTGTGTCTTAATATCGTGCCATTAAAAGTATTTTTCAGCTCAGGCACCATTTGGGAAAAAAAAAAATCACCAGACTGAAGCAAAATAGCATTTTCAGGTTTTGAATATGAAAAGATCTTCAATCATAATGTTGGGGTTGACATGAGACAAGACATTTGACCCAAAAAAGAATGCATTTCACCTTCTAACACTTCTAACACATTTTCACACTTCAAAATGTGTCTGACTTTCAGCAAAAGCATTTAACTGAAATGCTGAAGTACTTCTCTGGAAATGCTGAAATGCGCATAGTGAAACACACACAGTAGAGTAACTTTGGAGGGAAACATGGAATTTTTCGCAGTTCACTCTTGCAAAATTTTCTGAATATTTGCATTAGGGGCATGCTAGAGGTACATTTCACAAATTTAGTAGAAATTGTAAGGGATAAGGAGTACTCGCGTACCATGTTGTGTCTTAACCTTTCTTAATGAGCTGTTCTACCTGCATGTTGCCTTTAACTACAAAATAACGTCACTCTTACAGTTTTTTTCCATCAGTGTCATCTATGGATAGAGTCTAAAAATGAGAAATTTTGGTTCTTAAAGGGGGTTTGAAGAAACTGTGAGCACAGTAGGTTATAATGAAAGCTCTTTTGCAGTTTGACTCTGAATGGGTGCAATTAGCATCTTCTTTAGTATCCAGAGTTTGTCATGCTAAGAAATGAAGGGTGAGGCTGCAAATGCTTTACTCAGAGTGGGTCTTAATGAAGTACTTCACTTCAATGGCCATTTTTTTTCTTTTTTTTTTAAATCTGTGGAATTACTCAAGATTTAGTGACTGCTTAAAATGTAGCTAAGAGCTTCAGTAAGGCCCTGAAAAAACATGTTTAATTACATTAGTAATAGTGAGAATGCTCAAATACTGGATGTTTCATGAATATTGTTAAAACCTAAACACCACAACCAGTTTGAGAGAAGCCAGGTCAGGAGTTTAAGTTTTTCTTGTTAAATTCAGCACGGCTTGAGAAACATCTGCCATAAAAACAGCAATTCAGCAGTCGTCTGCAATGCATGGAGAAGGGTATGCTTTAAGTACCCTGAAGTTACATTTTCTCAGTGGGGAACATATATATAAAAAAAAAATACATATCTACTATATAGATAGATAGATCGATCTGACTCATTTCAGACTCATTCCTTGCCTTTGCTTCTCTGTCTAGCATAAACAAACCAATCCTCTTCCCCACACACATGCTGCACTGAGTTTGGGGAATTTTTTATTGTTGTTTTTTTAACATAACAGCAGTCTTTCAAATGAGTCTTTAGCTGCTGATGCTGCATTTTTTACGGTAAATCTGTGTTGGTTTTTTGTTTGAAAGGAAGTCAGCCGCACTGAGGGTACAGTTCACTTTTTAATCTATAGCCCCAAAGTCCTTCTGAAGAGCCGCCGTGCTGTGCCTGTGGAACGCAGCAGACTGCATCATGTGGTTGGTGTCTTTCTGCAGAAGATCTCTCTGCCTTTACAACTCTCACTTATATGCACCTACTACCTTCCTGGCATCTCTGTCTGTCCATAATTAAGTGAGGTGTTACCTGTCAGTGTCCATAGATGGACGGCTGTCAGTCGGTTGGTGTTACCATATTGCTCATGAACATTTTGTTCCACAGCTGCAGTCATGTGCATGCTAGAGCTGTGGTACTTCACACCAAAAGCTCATGTGCAAGCGTATCTGTTGGTTACTCATCACAAGTTGCAGGACATTAACCACAGCCCTCCATAGGGGCACTAGACATCTAGTGCAGATATGAAACAACATAGCTGGGAAACTGCAGCTGCCTTTAATTATGTGTATCATAGCAAAGATGAGCTCAAGGCTTTACATTTCACAAGACACCCTGGACTTGTTTCTCTCTCTCATTGCTAATAAAGACTTTAATTCCAGTTTGTGCATTTTTTCTTAGAGTAGCACCTTTGATTTTAGCATTACATTTTGAGGATGCTTTTTCTTTCCCCACACACAGCTCCCCCCACATGGCCAGTGTAAAAGTACATAAAATTACAGTAAAACTCTGGGAACTTAGAATCTCCCCCTGCCTGGCCCCAAAAGGGCCTTGAGATCCCTTCTGCTATAAATTATTGCATAATTCTATGAAATGAAGTAAGAATTCAGTTTCTTATTGTGGAAAACACGACAGAGTAGAGTTAACTTTAGGGACATTTGAAGAGGTCCTGCCTGAAATCGAATTATGGTGGTTAAAATGAAAATTTACTTGAGCAATCCTGTCTGTAAGCACGGAGGAGTAGATTTTGCACCTTTTTAAGAGGTGTGTACGTAAGTATGAGAGTGCCTCAGCTGCTTTGTCCCTCAGTCTGCGAATATGAGACTAGAGATTCACAGTTTAGAAAGGGGACTAACTTTTGAGCTTTTTGAATATTAGCTTTCGCATCAGAAGTGTTTGGTACTTTATTCAAAGAAAAAGTTGGTTCAGTTACCAGTTGAATTGTCCAACCTGTCATGTAGGTAGGACTCAGATGTCCCATCCAGTAGATGGGACAGGGCCGGAGGCAGGTACATCTTTGACAGAGCTCAGGCAGAGGCTGAAGACCCAGAAAGTCTCAGGAGGAGAGGCTGGTGAGGACCCTTAAGGCCTATTAGAGCACTCACAGCCCTGGCAATATCCACGAGGAGGTACATGATTTGCAAACAGAAGGAAAACATTTTTATTACATCTCCACTTCCATTGTCCCCTATGTTATTTTTTCAATTTTCCTGTTTACACATTACTTGCTTTCCTCACTTTTGCGACACAAGTCACTGGAAATAGCTCAACAATGCTGCAAACATTTGCTTTGCATTTGGTCACTCTGATTTCAAAGACACATGCTAGCTACACATCTGGAGGAGTTGCTACCTGTATTAGACTAAGGGTTTTTAAAAAGCTGAAACAAATTATGTGTCTGATTTCTTAAAGATCAATTTGTGACATTTGTTCATTTTTTTCAAATATATGAATCTTTTAAAGGCACTAAGTCAGACTGCTCTTAGCATTTTTTTATTCTAGATCCAGAAATAGCGTGTATCCATGACACGTGAATGCCCAGGTAATGTATTTACTGAGTGTGCCCACAGGCATTAATTTCACCAGCCTTTAGTTTCAGTACCTCATCATCATACCTTCCAGGCGGTTCCACGTTAAAGAATTTGCAATGTAAAGGGACAAAATATAGGTGAAAATGCAGGCTATCATCTTCATTTCCTTGCATTGCAATGTTGTCTTATGGTCCAAGCCCCTTCCGTAGCTAAGAGCTTTCTTTCAGATCCCAAGGTTCAGCATCAGAAGAAGACGGGAGCCATCAGCTTATTAACTGTGAGTCACTTTGTGCTTGGTCTGGTGTCTGTATACCCAGCAGCCGTGCAGGTCAGCTCTGAGTAAGTATAAGACACTGTCTAATAAACGCATTTTTCCCAGCCCTCAAGTGGCTTCTGTAAGTGGCAATTAGACTGTAAGGAAAAAACCCACAAACTTCAGAAAACACTAAAATATTGAAACCCAAATAAAAAGTTCCTTCAGCTCAACAGCAGCTGCCTCAGGGATATGTACAACAGCAGTGGGCTCCAACACACTCCTCAGCCCCCACAGATGGCATCTTTCCTGCATAGCATGCAGTTCATGTGCACAGTGCTCATCCTCACGTGAGTACCTCTTCTCCCCTGCCCTTTCCTGGAGACAGCTGCTGCCAATGTCTATCCGTGGGGAGGCTCAGCACCCCCACATCCACACGTGCTGACTTGCAGTCCTGTTGCGTGACCTTCACACTGACACCTGGCAACTTCTGAATTCCCTGTTTGCATCAGAAAAAGTCTTACGGAGCACAGAACAGCAAAATGCAAATTTCTGTGCAAGTCTCATAAAATTATTTACATCAAATGTTGTTTTATCAGTAAAATGGGTCTTCTGACAAAAAGCTCTGCCTGTTGCCTGACAATTTGGCTCAGACCACCAACAAAGTTGCATTCTTCTTACAGATCCACTTCTTTAAAGTCTGGCAGTTATCTGCTTGGATCATGTTTTTTCTTCTGTAAACAGCACAGTTCTTGTCAGTACCTATTCTATTTATAGCTATCCTGGTAAGAGAAAAAAAGGAATGCAATGAGTTTTCAGCTTTAAATTCAGTACTGGATAAAAATATTGATAATATCTTGAGTGAGGGGTTTGGGTGATGCCCATTTGGTAACCAACTGAAGCACAGCTCCTCAGCAGCCACGCATATTCCAGGCGGGCACCCACAGCAGAGACTGCTAGCTGCTGAGGGGTTGATGCTCATGAACATCAGTGTAAGAAGCATGAGAAAACCTGCACATGCAGCCACGATGCTGAACTGTAATGGTGAAAGGGAGGGGAAGAACCCCTCAGCTGCACGGATCCCAGCACCCACGCTATGTGACAGGCGTCTCATTCAACAGAGATGGTATACATGGTCTGTACGCAGAGAGTTTGTTGACAGTGATTTCAGTGGGACAATTGTGTTTTAATGTCCTTCTGCATTAATACATACATGGACTGTGACTGTGGTTGGTCTTGAAGGCAGAAAACAAATCTGTTTCCAAAGGTGTCCAGCAGGAACCAGTTAACCTGGAATTGGCCATGAAATAGTCCCTGAATAGGTGCCTGAGGCTGCAGGACTAGATCTGTGCTTTGGGAAATTAGCTTGGATTCAGAGTTGTATTTACACGCACAGTACTACACCTTAGCTTTTGCCGAAGATCCTCTCCCCCCACAAATCATCACCTGTTTTCTTCTCCTTTGGGATCTTCAACTGAACTCTGTTGTTTCTTCATGTCTTGAATCTTCAATCCAATCCAGATATATTTGGTATCTTTCTCTATATTGTCTATGAATTCCTGTGGAACAGGTAGAAGCACGTTACCCAACAGCAGAGCTTTTCTGCTGTGCTCAGGTCACTGCCCCGTCTCACGCACAGCTTTTCAGGTAATCCCTCACGTGGGGAGCAAGGGCAGGGATCCAGCCGTGGCAAAGCAGCCCATTACAACTGCCCGTATGCATGTGATCAGCCACAGAGTTTTGACTCCGGCTGGCACTCAGGCTGATTGGCTTCCTGTCAGCTGTCAGAAAAACCCTCACTGATGCTCCGCACCCTAATGAGCCAGGTTGCAAAGCCTGGTCTTTAAGGTAAAAGACCTGTCCCTCGGGGAACAATAAGTTGCTCAGAAAAGCCATTCAGCGATACCTTGCTATTCATTTTCCCAAAGGAAAATGAGAAAGAGGTTTGGCTGTTTGAATTTCCGTTTAGTGGTTGAATCAAACCTCTCCTCCCAGAGCCAAGTAATGGAAATGGGTGGGAAGTCCCCAGCATTTCCTCCTCCCAGTCAAAACTGCTCTGGCTTCCACACTTGCATCTCTTGTGCTTCTCCTCTTCAGCTCTACTCTGTTGACCCTCTGCAAAACAAGCTCCTGTCTGTAGAGTCAGACGCTCTGCACTTGGTGGGGCTCTTGCTTGCCTGCATGTACACCTGACATCTGGGCCATGTTCACTTGGTGAAATGTTTGGCTAAGGCAGATGCCTGTCAGACAATTTTAGGGCTGCTGCAAGACTCACCATCTCAATTTCATCTTCAATGACAAGAAGCTGGGATTTCCTGGCCAGACAGTTATTCTGGCTGTCATCCCAGCTTACAGCCTCCTCAGAGAAGTAGTAACATCTCCCCCTGTGTAGTTGCCACCCTGGAGGACACAGCTCGCATGTTGTTCCTGTGGGCGGAGAGAGGGAACCATTAGCTCGTACCATGACTTGTTCCAGTTGCCTTGTAGCATTTTATGTTCATGTGCCTGGCTGGCTGGTCCAAAGGTGGCCAGTCCCCACTCCCAAGCATGTGTTCGCTGGGTGTGGAGAGAGGTTTGAAGTCTCCAGTGCCACTCCCCTCCTCAGCTTCCCACTCCCTTGCCGTGGTGCTATGCACTTCTGCACTCCCACTGCACATCATCGGGCTCTCTACCTGCCTGTGCACCTGCCCGGTGGAGAGCACCGGGAGGACCTAGAGGGCTGCAAAGACACTTTTCCTCCTCCCACATGCAGCCCTTGTGAGGAGACACCGTGCGATGTGACGTGATGTGGAGTGTGTGGATTTGACACACGATGTGACCGGAAAGCACAGCTACTTAAATGACGTTCAAACTACATCCATGGAGCTGGAGAAGGAACTCTGTTAAATAAGGGGAACACTGCTGTTCCCAAGTCTACTTCCCATTTCACTCAGAGCATCTGGGAGGAACATCCCCTACATTTTCTGTCTTGGCTTCCTCTAATGTTTCAAAGTAACATCATTACAATCAATCCTTAGAAAAGCATTAATGTTTGCCGACAAACAAGAGATCCACAATAAAAAGACCAGGAAGGTCTTCCCCTGCCTGGTCCTTGCAAAAGGCTAGGAAATCTAAATTCCCTCCCACTCTTTGTAAACAATTATTTTCTGGAAAGTGTTCTCCAGGACAAGGGGAGGATGTACGATATATGGCATTTCTGACAGCAGCTCCTGGCAGAAAGAAATGCAAAGAAAGTACCGGAAACTATTTATGCCGAAAGAGGAGCAAAACTATTGTCATTAAAATGTTAGTTTAGATCCTGGCATCACTTCTATGCAGGAACACCATGCTCCCTGGGTAGTACCAGTGATTTCCCATAAATTGCAGGTGTCATGGAAATGGGAACAGAGACAACAGAAGTGTGCACACAACACGTCCTCTATGCTGTGGAAGGACTAACTTCCCTCACCTTGTCCGTCTTCACACAGTTCCTCCATGAGCCATTTCAGGAGCACTGCCGAGACAGTTTTCTCTGAAGGAATGTGATCACCAGTGCTATTTAGACCATACTGGGACGAACTTTCCGAGTTTCCTGCTCTGCCCTTCAAAACTTGAACAACAACAAAACAAAGAGATTATGTCCTGACAACAGGTCACGGAAATGTAGTCTTTGTGTCCACTGCTACACTGTGAATGTGAGGATATGTGTGCGTGTGTATGCGTTGAGGGGGGTATACACACTCAGCTATGAGTTATACTCGGTGAGTATAACTGTCTGGCAAAGGGTGTAGCTGCTGAATAATATGAACAGTACAGGAAGAGAAAATAAGTTTGTCGTTTTTGATAGTTGGATATATAAAGAATACACAATATTTTGGTGAGATTTTAGGGAGGGTTGGGAGGTACATGTTTTTTCTGAAGTTTTTCAAGACTGTTTTCTCTCAGGAAATTAATGTCTTCTCTGGAACAGTTCTTGTATAACTGGAGCATGCTGTGGATTATGCTATTACTAGTACCAGGGGAGTCTGATTAAATGAAATGATCTGAAGTCTGATTTTTATTTTATTTGTTCAAACCTACAAAGAAATTAAGTGAAATGGTCTCAAAGTAGCATCATGGATGCAACTTTTAACCTGTAAGTCAGGAAGGCCAAATGTTTTGATTGTTATAATGATTTAAATCTGCTTCTACAGCCTTTCAGCATCACTGATGACAAGGTAGACTGCAGCAACTCCCCTTCATCTGCGCTATATGTTAAATGACAGGTAGCAAATGTTCCCTTTGGAACGCTACATTTATTTTCCTGTATTTGTGTATAACTTCACACCTTTAATGCGACACTAAGGGAATTTTTCTTTTTGCATCACTGCTTGTGAGGTTTAACTATGTCTGCAACAAAGAGATGAAGCGGATGGTAGGATCTACTCACATTGCTTGGCTAGCACGGCTATGACACCCAGCAGGACGAGCACAAGGACTCCCAGGACCAGCGCCACATAGAACCAGGCTGAGCGCCCGTGTCGGCAGCCTGGAGGGAGGCAGGAGGAAGAGCAGCTTAAGGTATTTGCACTATTAAAATTAACACTACCTTTATGCATGCCAGTTTCTTACGTGAAAACAACAGAGAAATCGTCTGCCTAAAATCAGTCTGCTCTTTGAAGTATGCGGGGACATTTTACTTATTAAAAATTTGCATCCATTTTGCATACATGAAAGTGAAATCGAAAGATCGTTTTGTCAGATAGAGCAAGTGATTTTCAATCGATCATTCCATTAAGAATTCTCTTTCTCCTTTGAGTTAACTTTTTCAAGCATTGCCTCCTCCCACCTACCCACCCACACCCTGCAAGACCCTGCAGAGCAATTCAGGGAAAGTATCAGGGATGGTCTGTGGTATGTTCCTCCTCTCTGGTCACACTCTCCTGTGTTAACGAGCCTATCGTGGCTGAAAGCTAACTTACCTGAATGCATAGAAAAGGCAAAAAATCCCATACTGACACCATAGCACAGTGACGTATATCTGTCCAAGCATCTCTCCAGCTGTTTGGCATTCATCAGCTCATGAGAGTGAAACACTCAGGAAGAGGCAGGACCCGAGGAAATTTGGGGTCAAGGTGCCATTTCCACAAGCCACAGAGTTGCGCTTTCATAACTGCTGTTTTCCTGACCTTGCCTGCATGAGATGAGCAACTGTCCCGTTCTCCGGCTGCCTGAGATGTACTTTCTAACGTTCCCTTTCAGCTCACAGAGTTCTGTGGGCCTGACCTTGTCTGGCACACGTCCTTCAGTACAGAGAGGGTGGCGATCATCCGTGCACCAGCTGCACATGGAGAGCTGGGTATTACGCTACTTCCAAAGCCAAATGTGTCCCTGTGACCGTTCCTGCAGAGGCACTTACAGGAGGGTTCCTAAAAAAGTGTGGAATTTTACTTTCCTTTGCTAAATTTTCAATGTGGGACACAAAGGTGTTTTTAAAAATTATTTTTAAAATCTCTTTCAATATTATTTTTACAAGGAAAGTATTATTTTTACGAGGAAAGTGTGTAATCTGAGAACCCAGTGAAAAAAACATACGAAATGATAAATCAGTTCTTTATTGAGACATTGTGCGTAAAGACTCTTGACAACAGGTTCTACTGTCGGGTAATAGGAAAGACTAAATCTATAATTAGTAACCAACAACCAAACAAAATAGCACACTACCAGAAGCGGAAGTCTCTGATCTGCTGCTCCCTTTGGGTTTCGGATTCACGCGCAGCTCAGCGTATGTGATCATGTTTCCTGTAAGGAGTAGGGAAATGCTGACATTTGTGGTTGTGTAAGCCATTAAGTGGAGAAACAATAAAGAATTACATAGAAGACTAAGTCTGTATAAAAAGGGGCATGTGTTTCCACAGCTGCTAGTTCAGCTTTTTTTTTTTTTTAAGAAACAACAGGCAGGATGATGACTTATTTCCTGCTGCTGTCAGGAAGTAACTAAAAGCCTCCTCCATAATCTTTGCTTGAACTACTTGGGTCCTGTGTGGCTGGGCCAGGAGGCAGACAGACAGACTGAAGGATGGGTAAGACCTGGGTACTATCCATGGCAAACAACCCACTTGTTGCTAAGCCATCTCAGGAGGTATCATAGGGGCTTAAGGGGCATCAGAGCCGTGACAGCTTCGTGGAGCAGGGAGACCCCAAAGGGAAAACTGCCTCTCAGAGAAATGCTTCTGCAGCAAGGTGATTCTTGGGGGCACTCCTGACTTGTGAATGTTTATGCCAGGATATCACGTGAGGCCTGTAATAGCAGAGGAATGGACCTGATGGTTGAAGACATCTCTTTCCAGATGCACATTGCCAAAACAAAACAAAACAAAAAACATTAAAATAGCATGATGTGAGTTAGATGCACATGGATCCTTTCTGAACACATTTTCAATTTTGTTTGAGCTCGGTATTTTGTAGAGCTACTGGCTAGTTTTATGGAAGATATTTGGACCTTTGATAGACTGATCTTCTTTCCACAAATGGTGAGATTTTATCAATCTTAATCAAGAATAAGCTTCTGTGCTACAGCCTTAGTTTGTGATCACTGGGGCTTTTAAAAAGAAGTAAGCCATTTGTGTTGTATAAAAACTCACTGATCAGGGAAAAACTTGGCAGAAGAAGAGAGTCTTATTAGGCTAAAATGAGGTAGAATTTGGTATGAGAATTGCTTGAAGTGTGGAGAGGTTTTACGGTAAGAAAACTACTGAGGACCTGATTGGCAAATAAGGTTTATTCATACAGGTAAGATGTTCTATGCTTTAAAAAAATCCAACCTAATACACTTTGCTGTTTGTTTTATTATAATTTATTAGTTCAATGAACTACAAAAAATTTGTAAATTATATTTAACTGTATAGATAAGTGACTGTTTTCAGTTACTCATAAAAGTTTTTCTTTTATGAGTAATAGATGCTCATAAAAGATTTTCTTCTTAGAATGTAAATATTTTTCAAAGAAGAACAGTCAGGACTTTCAAACTTTTAAATGCACTAGCCTTATAAATGGAGACACTTCTTCTAAGATACATACTTTAGAAAATCTGCTACTGTTACTAAATATTTTCGCTCTCAAATAAAGATCCATTCCTTTAAAGAATATCTCTCAGACTGTATGAAAAAAATTATTATCCACACAAACTGAATTATTTAAAAAAAAGGATTGCTTCTATTACAGCGTGTATTGGCACATGATCATTTGAATGTGAAGTCCTCAGAAGTCAGCAAGTGGTTTTAAAATACCATGTAACCTTAATTTTGCAGGATGCTTACACACCCTTACCTAGTTTAGCAACAAGGAGCCCTAGTACTAGGTGGAGATCTCTGTCACTTACTAAAACTGAAATTTCACTTCGTTTCTGTATGCAAATTGTCAAGTGCAGAAAGACATCTCTCTTTACTGGAAGCTTCTGCTTTCTGAATGTGCGGATAGGGAGTGCTTCTGGCAGGTCATTCACTCCAAAGAGTCAGGCTTTACAGCCATCGGGCTCTTGCGATCAGCTGGACACCATGTTGAATGTGAGCCCACGGTGCACCCTCATCATCACAGCTCGTACAAGTCACCAGCGGGGCTGCGTCAGGAGACCCCTGGCCTGCAGAGCAGGGGAAGTTTCTGTGCTGCTCCACTTGCTGCTGCTGCGGCCACACCTGGAACGCTGTGTCCAGATGTGGGCCACCCCGTTCAGGGGGGATTGGGGGAAGCTGGAGAGGGTCCAGCAGAGGGTGGATAATAAAGATGGTCAGGACCTGGAGGGACCGAGGAGGCTAAGGAGGGGAACAAGAAGCTAAGGGGTCAACTAGTAGCAGCCTACAACTACTTGTAGGCTAGTTTGATGATGGCGTTGAGCTCTTGGTTTGTTTTTCTGCTGGAGGAAAGGTCTTGTATGTAATCATTTATGAGCCATAATCAGGCGACTCTGTGTAAGCTAGGAAGCGAAAACTGTCTCAGTCTTTCATTAGAAAACGGATTTCCAGGCTGTATTTATCCTTGCTTGTATTTTTGGAACACTTCTCCACTTTTGAACATCTGTTTTGAAGCACATGCACTGCAATAGCACCTGCTAGTCCACCAAAGCATGTGCACAGACAGTACCACCTACTAACCCCTCCTCAACATGCCCTGCTAGAGCATCCAAGAATCACCTCATCTTCGTAATTCAGAGCACCTCACTGACAGCTGAAGTCCAACTGGTTGTGTAACCTGGCATTGACTTTCCCATTGGAACAGGATCACAACAAATCCCTTTCAATCACTTTTCTGGGTGCAGCCTCCCAAACTTACAGCTGTAGACATTTTTTATTGCTACATTGTGTTAAACATTATTTAATACAGTTTGTCCAGTCTATCAAGTTTATCCCAGTAGTTTTCAATGACTGAGCTTTCCTTATCATTAGGCTGCAAACTTTTACATTCATTCCAACTGTGCCACCAGTGATTTTTATATCTTTTCGTGTATCCTCATAAAATACATTGAATAGACTTTGAGATAAGAACAGTATTTGGGAGAACTCCAAGAAACTCTGCATAATTTGACGAAACCAAATCCCATTCTCACACATAAAGAAAAGCTAAAAAAAAGAGGTGGGCACTGGATCTGTAAAGGGACTTTCACTCTCAAATCCAAATTTTACATGTCTAAAACACCTACTCAACTACTACTACAGAACCTTGGCAGGAGTTCAGCTCCACGCGTGTTTACCTTTCATGTACACCAAATCTTGCCAGCAGCTATACTTTAGCAGGGCTCCCCACCCATGCGTTTTTTAGTATCTACTCCAGTAAATTGCATCTAATGGTCTGAAACTTGCACTAAATGCAGCCAGGAGGAGGTAAGCATGTTCCACTTTCCCATAGCCCAGTGATTTGAAGTCTTGCCTAAAGTCTGGGAATCTGCCACTCGGTGCATTCATCTGCCGAATTTGCAGTGGTGATTAAACCCAGCTCTCCCTCCTCCATGGTGAGAGTTTTAACCATGCAGTGCTTTCCCTTATGCCCATCTCAAAGCTGCTTCTTTTTCTGCAAGATAGTCAGACATCCCTGGCCAAGACCAAGATCGGCATGAAATCTGGCAAAGGGAGGGATGTGGGTACCAGCCATCCTCCAGTGGACACTTCAATGTGTCACCGAGTCGGGATAGTGCCAAAGGGAGAGCTTGTGACGCTTGCCACAGAGTCCCGTCACCTTGGAGCTGAGACCCTCACTTTGAGAATCAGCTTCGAATTCCTGCTCCAAATTGGAGGAAGCATCGAAACCTCTTCATGCAGGGTGTGATAACGAGTGGGACATGCTGTAAGCATGTTTGTTATGCGGAAGCTGTCCTGTCCGAAGCAGCCTGGATCCCAGTCCACGTAGGAGACAGCTCCTTCTAGCTTGCAGGGAAGGCTCTAACTCCCAGAAATGGATGACTGAGCAGCACCTTGCATCGTTGCTCTATCCTATTAGCTACTTTTGGCAGTTCCTAGCTCACCATGCTAGGATCCCAGACTCTCCTCCATTAGCTGTAAAGAAATGCAGGGCATCTCAGCGAGGGTCCACTATACAGTGGAGAACCTTAACACTAATCATTGCTATACCTACACTGAGCTTAAGTCTGTTTTGTGAACATTGCTCAACATGCCTGTCACCTTTCAGGACTATTCCCAAATTTCCTATGAAGTTTTTAAAAATTACAGAAATAATTCTGTAGAAAAACAAAACATGTTTTCTCCCATTCTTCCTGTGGTGAAAGTGAGTCTTTTGTTTTTGAAGAGCCTCTTGGAATAAAAGAACACTCACCAGCTAGATGAGTATGTGTGAATTTTGGTCAAAGCGTTAAAACTTCAAGGAAGGAACAAGCAACTGAAATTGTTTATTTGAATTTTTAAAGCATGATAATATGGCTCAAGTTCTTGTCTATGTTAGTAGCAATAAAACCTATGTTAGTATATGTTAATGATGAAGGCAGAGAAATAATTGTCATCACGGAG